GAAGAAGGAAGAGGAAACACTTATGGGCATGTTTGGACATTTACTTTAGGAAAAATGGGAAATAAATGCAGTGATTTATTGCAAACATGCAAGCATACATGGAAAAATAGTATCTAAGGCAAAAACAGAGTTTGTAGTAATTCTACCTTTATGCTTAAAAGTCAGTATTCTTTATGAACACCTTCATTCTTCAGCTCAGTCTGAACTCTGTCATCTCTGTAAGTTACCACTTCAGTCATGCTGGCGTCCGGCTCCGGGGAGGCCGATCCATGACTGGCAGAGTTCCTCTGTCTGTTTCTATCCAGATGTGCTTTCACTGCACTGGCCGTGTGTTTGGATCAGTATCATGCTGAAACACGAAGCTGCTGATAATCAGATGCCTCCAGATGTTCCCGAATGGTGGCTCAGATTCTGATGTAACTTTTCTGAGTTTATAATTCATCAGTTTATCAAAGATCTCCAACACCACTGACTGACCTGCAGCTGAAGGCCTCACACTTCTTCTTCTGTACAGTTTTCTCAGAGTAGGATACACTGCACGCCATATGCCAAGTTTCCAGCCAACAGCTCTTTGGGAGTCACCTTGTTGGTGCAAAAATACTATTTTATGTCCATTTAAAAATGAAAATCAAAACAAATGTTTTGTTTGTGACCTGCTTTTGAGCTTAAAGATACAAAACTCGGCTCTTTGGTCAGTCATCTGTTATGTTAGGACACAACACTGTTTCATTTCTTGAATTAGGAGTCTTCTTCTGCCTGAAAGATTCATAGGTCAGATGTAGTGGTTCAACAAACCCAAAAGCCCTTCCTCTGAAAACGGTGGAGTTTAAAGAAATTAGGCGTGGTTCACGACTTCTGCACAGAAGCACACATGGTAGTAGTAACTTCTGACATCTGTTTCATGGCATTTTGTTGTATAAGGTTCAGCAGGATGAAGTAAAACCACTCATAATCATTGGTGGTCTGAGCTTTCTGATTTTCTCTTAACATCTGTGAACATACAAAGATCGGAAACATAATCCAGCTCCTGCTTTTGAACCCTTTCCAATCGTAGCCCGACCTCACCAAAAAAGAAAGAAGAGCGTTCAAAGCTCTGACATGCAACCCATCATTACTCTAACCTACCAGAAGAAAACAGAGAATGAGGGAGGTGGGCCAGAATCAGGTGAAGACAGAAGGGGACTCCCCGCTGTCTGAAAGCCCTCCACCAGCTGCTGCCTATAATTATCCTGCCATCACTGCTATATTTAACCGCACCTCCCTGCAGAAGACACGAAGGCTTCATCAGCCACCGGGCGCGCTTGGTTTCCACCTCTCAAAGGTGTCAAAATTTAATGTGAAGTAAAAACACTTGAGATGAGATAGGAAGGAGTTTGAAACCTGCCACCGGCCCAGCTCGAGGTTCAGGCTGGAGCAGATGTGCAGCTTGGAACCTCTGAAAATCGTTAGGTAGAAGGACCGGAAAAATGGTGAGAAACTGGCCAATGTTCAAAGACCCTGGAAGGCCTTCGGAAACCTGAAGAACTGTTGTTCTGTCCGGCTCCTTCTTAGCACGGGTCATAAATAAGCTGAAGCCCTGACGAGAGGCTGGGAAACCGTTCATACAGCAGGAAGCGCTGTGTTCTGGAGCCTCGCTGGTCAGGCTACACGATGATCGACGGGTCCAACATGGCGGACTTTCAGCTCGCTGAGGTGCTCCACCTGAAGCGTCACTGACTGTTACAGCTGCGGATGAAGCGGACTCGTCGGGGTCTCTGCTGCATCCATGCGGCCGGCTGAGATCCAGGATGTGGAATCAGCCGAGAGCCCACTTCAGTTTTATATTTCAGATTCAGAGCATCCTCCCTGTGCTGGCCACGTGTTCGGCTTCTTCACTCGGCAGCACGTCTTCAGACGCTCATTTAGACTTTAATCATGCTGTCGCACTGTCATACCCATATTTATATGTAATCTTTAAATAGTTCAAAGACTATAGTTAAAACACTCTGAGGCATTTTTAGACTAAAATTCAGCGGCCTTGTCACGGACTGGAATCTGCTGAAGCACAGTTTGAATGCACTTTTACTTAATACCGTTATAATCAAATAATAACATCGTGGATATGACTGTGTTTAATGAGCACTGTGCTTGAGGCCTTTGACCATCAGAAACTATTTTCAGGATTTATTTCCATCAAATATTCAGATTGTTGGGATGATGAGCGAGTGAGAAACTGAGGGACAGATTATTGACCCGTCACCACTGCCCCCTGCTGGGCATTAGGAAAGAATGCAGCCAGTGCATTCATACCTCCAGGTGTTTAAGCATGGATCAGTATCAGCTGTGAAAACAGGTCCAGATGTTTGTGTGAAGCTTTATTAAGAGGCCGGCTCAGAAAACAGACACATGAAGAGGCAGAGGTTCAAACATCATAATTTAATGCTAATTCAGCTACAGCACAGTCTAAACAACAACTTCACGGTTCATGCAGGATCAACATCTACAGCAACATCTGGCCCGTTCCCTGCGACAAGCGCCACAAAGACCGTGGCGGTTCACCTCAGGGCAGCGGCGCGCAAGGCGAACCCGAGCCCAGCTTATCGGCCTACTCCTTCTAACACAACAAAACAACCAACACGGACACGTGGTACCATCGTTACGAATCAGAATGAAGATAAAAAGCTTGACGAGGTCCTTTAAATTATCGCCAGCTTGTCCAAACACACAAACATTGGAATCCATTTCCGGAATGGCGTCATCTGAAAATTAGGCAATAAAATAATTAGCATAGCAACCTGTACATGTCGGCTTGTACCTCATTATTATTTTTAAGCAGTAGAAAAAACAGCATTTTGGTTTTCAGGTGGATCTCATTGTAACAAATACAAAAAGTGTTTAAAGAAAGTTTCTCTAAGGAGACGTGACGTTTGACCCTGTGAGACGTAGCACAAAGGCAAAAACAAAAAACACGCCTGAGATACGAGTCGGCTCACATCTGAGGGGCACGGGGCTCCGCTGGTCCCTGATAATCCTGTAGTCCCGCTGCACAGCGCCCCCTGGACAGTTAAGGCGGTACAACACATGCGTGACAAAGTAAACAAAGAAAAACAAGAGAAGTTGGCCAAACGTGAGCAGCAGTGCATCGTGGGAATTCTCAACATGGCAACGTCCACAACACGCGTTCATTAAACCTTCGAAGTGGATTTCTTCTGCTCATTTCCAGCTCCACCTGTTTGTCATTACACCGCCAGCGTAGCTTTGCATGATTCACAGTTCAAAATCATCCTCATTTATCTGATTCTGCCCTTCATGCAGAGCCTCGCTGCCTCCAGCTGAAATCAGCTGCTTTCCCTTCAAGGCCTCCTTTTTGTTTCTTTTTCCGATTGGCCAAAGTCAGGAAGCCTGCTGAGGGGCAGTATGAGCAGAACAGCTCCTCTTCATCACATCTGTCGCTTTCACAGCGAAGATTTAAAAGGATAGAAGCGTGGCGCACACAGAATCTGACTGAGAACCATATTTCCAGATAAGCGCTGATATGAAGCTGATAAGAAAATAACATTTTTAGGGAAGATTCACAGTTTTGACTGAATTTTAAAAGCTGCTTTGGTCTAATTAACCGAGCAGTCTGAGTGAAAACCTCCACACCCGAGTCCTGTTAGTTCTGTCTCCCAGTTTTCCCCATTTTAGTCCAACATGTTGTCATGACGATATGATGCCAAATGTCTGGATTATTAAAGCGTCCTTCACAGACAGCAGAAAACATGGACGCAGCTTCCTGCTCAGAAAAATGAATAAACCTGGATTCTATCTAAAGGCCACCAGATGGCAACAGCTGCTGCTACAAAGGCCTTGTCTGACCTTTGACCTCTCCTGCTCGGTCACTGATTTTGGCCACACTAAATAAAAATGAACTGACTGTTTTGTAAATCTCATTTACGCCACATTTCTAAAAGGAGGATTATATGTGGAAGGAAACTGCATGCTCATTGGCTGGCATCAATCACAAGTCGTTAGCCAATGAGCATGCAGTTCATAGTAGCTGCGTCCATGTTTTACAGCTTTAATGAACAAATTCAGCCAATCACAGAACAAAGATTTAACAAAAAATTAATTCGCAGTGAAGTGGTCATGTGACAGCTTCAGTCACATGACCACTTCACTTCAGAACAGTTCTTCCAACCATGGCTTTAGCTGCTCCTGCACCTCATCACTTCAGGACATTTCGAGTGTGTAGTTTCAGTCCGAGTGTTCACAGCAGCTGGAAATCACGTGACCAGAAGCTCTTCTTCCATTAGTACCGACTCCGATCAGCTCGCCTCATTTTCTGGGTTCCACCTAATGTGCGTTGGGTCGAATCTCCAGCCAGGTCATTAATATGTGGCACGAACGCCACAAAGGTGGACATGTTTCAGCAGAGATGAATCCACAGATCAGCACGTGCGTGTACACCAGAGCCAATCAGGATGAGGGTCGCCGCCCTCGTGTGGGCGGGAGGAAGACGGACGAGAACCGCAGCTGTAGCAGGAATGAGCTCTAACGTAGCCGAAAAACTAAAAAGGAGGCGCTCCTGCTGTGCGTCTCACCGGGCGAAAACTGAGACAATCGTCACTGTTTGCGGTGTGGACGTCCGGAGCGACGAGACAATCAGAGAAATAAAGTTTCCACAGTGTTTCAGAGTCTGAGAGGACGCCAGCAGCACGGCCACGTCTCCACAAACTGAAAACCACCTGCAGACGGGAAGCCAAAGGAATGAAAGGTGGAAAATAAGGCCCCTCAGTAATGTCGGGTTATTCCAAAAAACGAGGGAAAATAAGAAGAGGCACCAAAAAGTCGAGATATCAAAAATGCAGTCTGTGGTACGAAAGGTCGAATTTTATAAAAAACAAGATGGAAAATTAAAAAAATCATTGAAAAAAGAAAGAGCAGCTACATCATCCGGGACGACGTTCCTGACGGGAAGTGCCCGAGATGCTGCTTCTGCCTCCGACCACGCTT